AACTGTTGTATTTGGTAAAATTATTATTTTCATGTGAGAGATTTTTTCTAACTGAAATGTTTGAGCTTCTCAATACAAATTGTTATATTTGATACTTAAATATGATGTTTCAACTGTAAATGCAATGCTTAAAATATCAATATAATGGTGCAACTGTAAGCGACCCACCCGGTCCGACTGTAAGCGTAGATCGCGTGTTAGGAATGTGCGGACGTCATGCAAATTCCAAAACTCCGCGGACGTCAAAACACGCACTCAACTATTTTCATCTTGAGGTGTGCGCAACCGGTTTTGAACGAGAACCGTTGGATGCTTCAGATCTGGACCGTCCAATATCGGTTATTCCGATTATAAATAGGGGCCTTGGAGGTCCCATTTTGTTGCTTGTACTTGGAGTTGTTGTGTCTCGAGCTCGCACCTTGGTGTCTAGTTCAGTGGTGTCCACCTTTGTGTCTAAAGTCACTTTCTTTTCTCCATGGGGTTGCTTTCTCTTTGGGGTAAGTTCTCCTTGCTTCAGTCTGCTCCTTTGTTTCAACATGAGTGATTTTAGTTTTTCCCTTAGTGATAGTGAGTCTACTTAAACCGAGGAAACCTCTTCAGCTAGCTCTTCCTCGGCTAGTGAGCACAAGTCCGGTCTGGCCAAGGTTACCACCTCAGCCCAGGAACATGAGGTCGGCACCACCGAGGTGACTTCCTTGGTGCGTCCTACTGATCCCAGTCCGATCGAGGTGGCCCTTCGAGAATGCAATCTAGTGGGAAGGCGTCTTCTTCCAGGCCACTTAAAAAATCGTCTAGGCTAGAGAAAAGTGCCAAGAAATCCTGGGGTCCAGACAAGTTCGACCCTTCAACTCTATCTCCCGAAAGACTTCAGGCCTTGGTCCTCAAATACAATCTTCCCGAGAACCTTGGTTACTCAATTCCCTTGGGGCAACATCCTTGGCAGCACGACCACAATGAGATCACTATCTTTGAGGAGCAGCTCGTGGCTGGGCTTCGTCTCCCGCTTCATCGTTTCTTTGTTGAGGTCATTAAGTTTTCATCGTCACCGGAGATCAGTTGCACCCAAACTTTATTCGAACCATCATAGGAACCATCTCAGTCTTCCACAACTTTGGCTTGCCTTTAGAATTAGACGTCTTCAATTCGCTTTGCGGGATCAAGAAGAATTCCGTTGCCCTCTTCCAAGAGGACAAGTGGAGTTATTATATCTCCTTCCGATTTGGGTACAAAATCCTCCACGATTACCCGAACAAGGTCTCGACTTGAAAAAGGAGGTATTTTACTGTCTCTGCCAAAGAGGGGTAGCCTTTTCCTACTCATTGGAGGACCTGTATTAAGGACCCTGTGGACAAGCTCAGCTCGGAGCAGCGAGAGGAGATATATTTCTTGGTCGATCTCTAGTTGTCTACGGAGGAATATTTGTTTGAAAAGATGCTTGTGGAGGCCGAATTAAGTCCTCCAAGTAGGTCGGCGCCTCGCCGCATAAGATTTTTCTTGCTTGCCTTTTTTATTACTTCGACTAAAGTATAACTAATGTTTTTGAAATAATTAATTATTTATTTTATTAGTTTATTCATTAATATTAGAAATTTATATTCAAATATTAAGTATACTCTCATTTTAGTTAAAATTATTTTGAATATTAAAAATTTTAAATATATCCATATTATAATTAATTATAATTAAAATACTTATACATTAATTGTAGTAATGATAGATAAATAAATAGGTGGAAATATTTACATTTGATTGGTTGGTTATAAAAAAGAAGAAAAATAGTAGATAAAGCAACAATAACAATTATTAATTAATTAAATGTTAAATATTATTTTAATTAATTAATTAATAATGTTTTCTATTATGTTATAATTTTTATTTTATTGGTAATTATTAATTAATTAACTAGTTTGTTCATTAGGGGTGAGTGTTCAATTTAGGTGCATGACTAGGCCTGCAACTTGAAAAAATTGAGAAGGGTTGGAGTAGGGCCATTAGGCTAATATTTAAGTTAAAGTTAGAGTTAAAAAGTAGGAACCTAACCTAATTTGAAGCTTTCGAGTTGGGTTAATGTTATGGTTGAGTGTTTCACAACCCAGGTTGGGTTTGGTTTATCTATACTTGACATAACCTAGCCTAACTTGCATTAGGGCTGTCAATGGGTCAAGTACAACCCGATGGACAAAAAATCGATTTGGGTTGGTTTCAAGTCCTAATACATTATTAGAGCCAATTGTCCCAAGAACCGATAAGTTCGGTTATAGGTCTAAAAATTACAAAGCTTGTCAAGCCCAATTCAATTATAGGTTCTTAAATTTTCTTATCGAGTTGATTTCGATTCCAACTAGACCCAATTGACAACCCTAACTTGCACCCCCTAATCATGATCTAGTAAGGCGTGCCAATCAAAAATTATTGGAAAATATTCATATGCAAAAATTACTAAACAATAATGAAAAAACATCAATAATTAATTAAAAATCAAAAAATTCTGAAAAACCTAAAGCTTAATTAAAATACTAAAAATAATAAAAAAACAAATTAATTATATTTTATTGCAAAAAATACTGAATAACAATGAATGAGGAACCCATCCCCGTAGGGGATCAGGGATGGAGGATAAATTTTATCCCCGATTGATCATTTTTAATTTTAACTTTAATATTGAACTTCCCCTCCCTTCTCATCAATTGATGGATATACCCTAACTCCTCCTAATCATGATCTAGTAGGGCGTGCCAATCAAAAAATATTGAATAATAATCGAAAAACATCAAAAATTAATTAAAAATCCAAAAATTATGAATCGATTGCTTGTTCAAAGATTTGACCGCCTAGTTCGACCGCTCGGTTCAACAGTTTGTTGACTTTTTCAATATTTTTTACCAAAAGCGGGTTTTAAGTAAAACGGAACTAGTTGCCTGAACGGTTTCCGGGCTGAACGGTCCAACCGTTTGGGTCAACGACAGTTCAAAAACCTTGATAGAAACAATTAAGCATGGTTTTTAAAACCGATACTGATGAATCATGTTCTACATGAGTAGAACCTTTAAAAATAAGCAAGAAACGATCATCTTTATCATAATAACATATTAAACCTTTAAAAATAAAAACCATACCTCCTAATAACACCATAATCTCGAAATTCATCTTTGAGTTCTCCTTCGGTAACTCTGGGATCTAAGTTCCCAACATAGACTTGAGACATTATGCCAGGCCACTATCAACCATGAAAGAAAATATATGATTTGCAGAAACCACACAACGCAGAGTTCTAAAACCCTAAGAATGCCAAAAAAAAAAACTAATTTAAGCACAAATATGCATTGCACGCAGGAAAGCAAAAAGTAGTTAAATGGTTTGCCTCTCCAAAACCGTTCGACCTTCCTATTCAGAATCCCTTATACCTGTCGACCTCCTACTTCCAAAATACAATTAGCCATCATGGGTTTATATAGAAGTACCTTCTCTTCTCTTGCTCGAACGAAGAAGGGCCGATGCTGGCTTGAATATCTCCAAATCAAAAGAAATCTTCCCCTTCTCAGGTGAACAATGAACAAAGGTAAATGCTAGTTTAGAGTCGTATGGCACTTATAACCTAGATTTCCTTCTCATTCCCCATTTGATCAATGTTTCTCCCTCTATAAGATTCTTCGTCAAAAACTTAGCTAGAACCAGATTGCCTTTGCGCGGGGAAAAAATTTGGACTCCTCGCGTCCGCGTGATTGTATTAGACCGGTTTAATTTTAAAACCGCCCTCCGCCACGTCTGTTCCCGAACCCAATGTACATAGACCGCCTCTTCAGGTATCACTATAGTGGCGGTCATACAGACCGCCGGCTTAGACCGTGAGAGCATGCTTGGGGTTTGGTTTAACGATTCCGGCTTTGGCATGAATGATCACAGGATGTGTGTTAACAGTTGCCATAGGTAAGGGGGAAGGAGAGGGAATTTGTTTGTAGAAACTAATAATTTATTCTCATTAACAATATGCTTAACAAGGGTTGTAGAGGGATAATCCAGGCGTTTGTGCCAAACATCAAGGGAAGCTCATTCTCCAATAAAGGCAGATCACGGTGAGTCTCGTAGTTGATATATATAGGCCATGCTCATTCATGTCGCCAAGCATTATTTGTCCCGTTCGTCAATCCTTCACAAGGAAATAATCAAGGTTAAATTCAAAGAAGCAATTATTATCCTTGGTGAATTTTGAAACAAAGACCAAGTGCTTATGTGTGGAAGGAACTTGTAAGATGTCACACAATATTAATAGAGATCAAATAGAAGAGATAATACAAGAATGTCCAGTGTGAGAAATACCCAAACCTGACCCATCACCTATGGAAATTTGATCAGCAGCCTGATATTCTGAGTTAACATTGAGTCGATTCAGGTCATTTGTAAGATGATTAGTCGCTTTGGAGTCTGAAATCTAGGCATTATTACACAGAGAGAAGTATGATTCCTTGGCTGAAGAGTTAGTTGTACATTCCTTGGCTGAAGAGTTACACAAATAGTTTAAGCCTCGTTCCCACACAGATATTTTTCTAGCTGATGAAATGACTCTCATATATGATGTGATAATACATATTTTCCACCCATTTGTAATGTTCAACCCACAACGTTTCAGGTGCATAAAAAAACGTTTCAGGTAGAAACAGCAACAAGGAATGCACAACCTTATTTTCACAATCCAAGTATCGGATTAGCTGCATTAATTAAACCCTATAAAACCGGTTTATTGTTGAGAAGAAGAAGAAAGATACAAATGTGTATTTATTGAGAAAGCAAAGAATTAAGGGTAAAAAAAATTACACTACAATTGAAAGATGATCAACCTGAAAACCAGTACTCTTGGACCGGAAAGCTAGAGAACAGAAAACCCAACTGGATCAAATCGTTCTGGTTGTCAAAACCACCCAAAAGACCATCTTAATTTAATTTCAACTCTACAACAACACTGTTTCGATTACACTAGCTATCATCACAGGGATCGAATCAAGCTATTCATCAGTGCAGCTGGAGGGTGCAAAGCCCAACCTGCTGGTCTTCAAATCAAACTCCCAAAACATGTTTTGCTGCATTATGTTCCCAATGACTGAGACACCGCCTTCAGGAGGAAGGGGCTGAAACCCAAGGCACCTTACTCCATCATCCACCTGGATCACATAGTTCTTCACCGGCGGCTCCATTCGAGCCTCACCGGTGAAATGGATTCTGAGTTTAGGCACTTCAGTGGCATTAAACTCTCCCGGTTTCACGCTGATGCAGAACTCGAAACGAGGATCCTCATACTTGGTGTACTTAGTCAAAGACTTAATCAAAGCATCCATCAGAGGCCTGTAAGCATCCATTGCCAGAAACGTCAAGGTGCTACCTTCATCAATAATGGTTCCTCCCCCATCATCCCTCAGCTCCCACACTTCGGACGGAATGTCTAACATAACACCATCCAGTGAGATGCCAACCACATTCACACCATAGAACGTAAGGACCTTGCCAAGGACTAGATCCGTGTGCTGCATATGTGGTGGATGTCGAGTCTCGCCGAAGACAAGGTAACTGCGGACGTTCTCGGGGCTGAAATGATCAACCAGGCAATATGAGAACTTGTAGCCAAAACTTTCTGAACCTCTCACGGCGAAGGAGTAGATGCTGTATCCCAGCCCGACTACACCATCGATAGCGTCATTTTCCTCTATACCTTCAATTATCTCGTTGCATCCCACCAGGAATTGTTCCATTTTTTTCTCCGTGCCGCTCTTCATTTGTAGGGTCAGTGTTTCGTTGGCAAAGAAGCCTAGCACACTCTGCCCAGCTCCATAACTATAGATATAGAATCAAGTGATGATGATGATCAAATTAGAAACACCCAAATTAAAAGAGATGAATGGATGGATATATATAGATCGAACAGAAGAAGACGAGAGCTTAGCTAGCTATAGCTAGAGAAGAAGGCAGCCAATACATACCTGTAGTCATACTTGCAGGGGCTATCTGGCATGGGGCATATACCCAAAGCAAACAAATCCCCAAGATCTTGAGTACACATCGTGGACGAGCAATTAATTGTTTGAAAGGAAGACGACTTTGTTGGATCGAAAGACACCTGCTTCCCTTCATCTTTATTACTTCCACATTTCATCCATGTAAGCTCGCTAGCTGTGTTTGCGATCATAATCAACTGCTGGGGTGGAGTCCCCACTTTCAGAGGAATGAGGTAATGGCCTGACCTAACCGATGCCCCAGAGAAGAATGGAGCTCTTATTACATCATCGGTAGCAGTCTCTTCAGCTTTCCTCCTCTTTTTCATCGCACGGGAGATCATTTGGACACGCTGAGAATCGTAGTGAACATGTTGCTTCATTTGTTCCATATTGTTTGTCGGTGGCCCCAAACCAGGCTTTCTCTGGAGACGAGGGTCATTCTTGTGAATCAGGTCGAATCGCACTGTGTCACCAGACTCACCACCATATGCCGGGACTAAGAAGAACCCATTGATGGAAACTAAGAAGAAATAGTGCAGGAGAGACATCATTGGACGTGGTTTCAGCAACCTGCAATTGCTAGAGGACAATTCTTCCTATTGAAGTTGCTAGAGGACAAGTTTAAGACAAACAAAAACAAACCCAAGAATTAATAGTGTCTTTTTCTTTTTCTTCTTTTTTTGGTAAGCAAGAACAAGGTGTAATAGAGCTCCATTTGTGGAGATCCGAACTATTAGGGAAGTTGGGAATCATTCTACGCTGTCTGAAAAAACCGGGGAATAAAGATAGAGTGCAACTGCAGCACTAGGAAACTATAGGAGAGGTTCAACATCTAACAATCAATATTCTCTCTTTCTCTCTCTAATTCAATTCTTTGAATTGATTAAAGATCATCATCATCTCCTAATTTGGGTTGGCTACATGAATTTCATCTTGTCATTCCCTTCCTTATGTTTAGTGTCTTAACCAATTATGAGCCCTCAAATCTCCTTTCAAACTTCCATCCTTTTAATTGAATAATGGCCTAAATTATATTCTTATTGGAGATCTATTTAACTGTATGAAAAAATTGGACAAAGGCAGAAATATAAGGCCATGTTTGGTTCGCTGCTCTGGGCCGCCTTCTCTCATTTTAGGTAAGAATGGGCAAGAATGAATAACATTAGACTGTTTGGTTACAAAATTCTTGTCAAGGGCCACATTCTTTTTACAATGAAAAGTCAACTTCATAGCACGAAAATTGAGTAGCCTATAGCATGAAAAATAATCATGCCCCATCTTGCTCATTTCATTTGAGGAAACTCTGCCTACAAAACTATTGTCATAAATGTTTACTTTTACAAAAATACTTTTATAAAAGTACTTTTACATGAAAGTACTTTTATGAAAGCACTTTTTTGGAAGTACTTTTACTAAAGTACTTATATAAAAGCACTTTTGCGGAAGTACTTTACAAACACACTTTTGTGAAAGTACTTTTATAAAAACTTACAAAAGCACTTTTATAAAAGTACTATACTAAAGCACTTTTATGAAAGTACTTTTATAAAAGCACTTTTACGAAAATACTTTTATAAAATAACTTTTACAAAAGCAATTTTAGAAAACGACTTTTATGAAAGCACTTTTATGGAAGTACTTTTATGAAAGCACTTTTATGGAAGTACTTTTAGAAAAGCACTTTTAGAAAGTACTTTTATAAAATCACTTTTAGAAAGTACTTTTGTGAAAGCACTTTTATAAAAGGACTTTTACAAAAGCACTTTTATGGAAGCGCTTTTACAAAAGTGCTTTTACAAAAGCACTTTTATGGAAGCACTTTTAGGAAAGTACTTTTATAAAAGCACTTTTATGAAAGTACTTTTGTGAAAGCACTTCTATAAAAGGACTTACAAAAGCACTTTTAAGGAAGCGTTTTTTACAAAAGCATTCTTATGGAAGCACTTTTATGAAAGCACTTTTACGTAAGTACTTTTACAAAAGCACTTTCAGGAAAGTACTTTTATAAAAACACTTTTACGGAAGTACTTTTGTCAAAGCACTTTTATAAAAGGACTTTTACAAAAATACTTTTATGGAAGTACTTTTACGAAAGCACTTTTGTGGAAGCACTTTTATGGAATTACTTTTATGAAAGCACTTTTACGGAAGTACTTTTACAAAAGCACTTTTAGAATGTACTTTTATAAAAGCACTTTTATGAAAGTACTTTTACAAAAATCTATGCCAAGTGGTAAACATTGATTGTTGGAGACCTAGGCTAGCGGTTGGTGAATACTGGCATGAATTTTTTTTAAGAATGAAAATGAAAAACATAGCACATTTGTTAGTATGAAAAGAATTCATTTTTAGGAAAAAAGTGTTCGGTTCATAGCAATATTTTCTCATTCTGCCTATTTTTACCCACTCTTGTCCATTTTAGAATTTCATCTTGGATAAGAATGAAAAAAAATGAAAATTCAACCAAACATGGCATAAGTGGCTAGATGTTCTGTGTTTTTGGCATTTCAATGCCTTAAAATAGGATACGATATGCCTGATACCGTGAACCCTTGGCCGTTTGAGTATTCATTTAACATCATAACGAGGATAACCATGGCTTTTAAAATGTTGTTGACTAAACGATCAGATCATTCAAACCAAGAACAGATCATGATTCCAGGTATGGTTATGCCTTGAACTATTATTTGCTAAGAAAATTTTGAAAAGGGCAGAAAACCGCTGAATCAGATGATTGAACTGTTCAACCTAGTCAACAGTTTATGGCTTACATTTAAATTTATAAGAAAAGTATTATATATATATATGAAGGAGTAGTTTATTCCATTTTTCCGTGGGGTTTACCATTTACATATGATAGAAAGACTCAACTCTGGAGGATTGGAATCCCAATACTAGACGATAGGAGTCTCAAGGCTAAGGCAATATCTATCAATCCCCTTTGTCTAGTATTAGCCATCGACAATCACCACTTGCAGAGATGACAAGGGTTTGTTCTTGCAACGACGACCAACTCAGTAGAGAGACCCAAGGCTTGCAACAACGACTCAAGGCTTGTGCTGGTGAATATCTATCTCACTACAACAGTGACCCAAGTAGCAGTGGCAATTAGGCGGGTTGGATTAGTTTTGGTTTGGGTTGACCTTCAACCCAATCCATCTAACCTTCCAACCCATTAATGACTCAGTTATATAAAATTAAATGGGTTGGGTTTAACTCAAACCTGTTTTGACCCAATCCAATCCGGCCAAACCCATTAATCATATATTTATGTACTTAAAACAAAAAAAAAAGGAACTCCCTCTTGACAAATAAGTTGGTCATAGCTTGGTGCTAATAGTAATTGCTATTTACACAAGTGGTGAAGGTTCAAATCATATTACATGCATATTATTTTTACACAAGCGGCAAAGCCATTTGACTATGTTTGGGTTTCGGGTTTGACCGAACCACTTAGGTTCAAATTGGTCAAACCAACTTGAACTATCTAATTGAATTGTCTTCGAGCTAATCACATCAAGAGTAGCTGAACCGTTTGGATTCAGATCAGTCCAATCAGACCAGACCAAACCGGTTTAGTCAATGGCGGATTGACTTGGACCAGCCCATATCAGGTTTGTGCACGGGTTTGGGATCGAACTGACTAACCCAAAGCAGGTCAAGGGAAGTAAATCGGATTGGTCCATATTCGGGTCGGATTGTATAGATGAGTCAGGCCGGACAATCCAAACCGGGCCAAAGCAAGCGGGGTCCCGCACGGCCCCATTTCAGATTTAGGTCAACCCAAATCGGCCTGCCTTGGGTCAGATTGGGTTCAGACTGGGCTGTCCAACCCAAACGAACCGAACCGAGGTGATCGGGTTTGTTTATATTTAGATCAAGTTGTGTTGGTCCGGACTCGAGTCAAGTTGATTTGGATTTATGTCTATTTGGGTGAAGTGTATTGATTCGAGACAAAACTAATTTTAGTCAATAATTAATAGAAAATTAATGTATTAATTATAAATTATTTCATTCAAATGAAGAAAATTAAAAAGAATAACCAAGGAATTAATACTTATATCTTTAGTGGTTAACCCAATGGTTATCCATAACCTAACCCAACCCAACCCATTTAAATTGACCCAATGGATGGCCAATCCATTTCCAACCCGCCAAGTAAAAGGGCGAGTTGAGTGGGTTAGATACTGGGTGGATTCGCTGGTCGTTATTGACAACGGTGCCCAATGGCTTGGGCATGGGAGTTGGGAGCAGCAACCAACTCTCTCTATCTCTTATTCACTTGTGCCGGCAACCACCCTCAAGCTAGTTAAAGTTTCATGTTTACATTTTTTGTTCAGTCATTTTAATATTGGTTGAAATCTGTATTATGTTGCTGTGAAATCCCATGTTTTCCCTTGGGCCTAGCATTCCAGCAGTTACCTAGACCCTTCAATAGCAATGCACCACGCCTGCAGCTCAGCTCAACTATCAAATTTCAAAGTTAAAGGAGTCCAGAGTCAACAATAGTATGGATTCCAACAGATATTCATTTTTATTTATTCATGGATAAATTGATGAAACTTCCCCTAAAGTTTTGTAATTGTAATCACCTCCCCTAAATTTTCAAATATAGTTGCAAGTAGACCCTCTTTGTTAGAATCTTCTAATAAGAGGCACAAAAATGTCCAAAATACTCATAAAGTTACTACTAATTCTGATAAGCTGATTTTCACATAAAAAAAAACAATACAAATTTTATGAACAACAAGAAAAGGAGTTTAAAGTTATAGTTTTACCTTTGAGTGATTAATATGAAAAGCAAATATGAAAAATAAATCAATTTCACAAACTAGATTGGAGAGGCTTTGGCAGTGATTGATATGAAGAAATTTTTGAAAAATAAACATTTTGGTCAAAAGTAAATGCATGGGACATGGGTATTTTGGACATTCTTGTACCTCTTATTAGAAAATTCTAACAGAGGGGGTCTACTTGTAACTAGTTCAGAAAGTTCAAGGAAGGTGAACTCTCTCTCTCTCTTTCTCTACTTCTTTCTTCTCCTGAACCCGTCTCATCCCAAACCCACTTAACTCATCCTGACCCATTCTACCTGATTATTATTTGACATATCCTATTATTGCTATCATTTATCAAATTTGAAATTCAAATTTAATTACCTTAATTAATACCCATTAAATCATCATATCATAATTAATTTAATTAATTCCATTTAAATATATTTAAAACCAGTATTGTATAAAATTGAGATATTAAAAGGATTTAAAAGTAGGTTGTTTTACTTGAAACATAAGTATTTTAACCACTAGTTCAGAAAGTTCATTTGCAAATACCTAGATCTCGACCCATAAATCCAACAATCAAACCAATTCTGAATGCTTTTGCCTCTAGAATCTCAATTATCCATTTAAGACTTTTTTATGAATAATTTCTTAGGAGAATATATTTTTTCTACTACAAATAACACCATTACTTATTAAACTTTGATCATTTTAAATTTGGTAACTTTTTACATGATCATTAATGAGATTTATAGTATTAGTTTGTT